GGGTAGGGGACTGAAGGATGAGAGACCGAAAGGTGGGGGACCGAAGGATGAGGGACGGAAGCGTAGGGGACTGCAGAGTGGGTTCGCCAAATACAGACAGGAGTGCCAGCAGAGCATCCGCAACTACTTCCTCAGAAACTCCTCCGGGGAGTTTAAAGTCATCTCTGTGGTGAGGCCCGGCCCACTACGGAGGGAAGAAGGGGGAGCCGAGGGGAAGGGGACCCAGGCCTAGGAGAGCCCGCGGGGCGGGCCAGATGGAGAGATCCCGGGACTTCTCAGCTTGGGGAGGCTGGGGACCGGGCCTGGAAAGCTGAGGAGTCTGGATAGGCCTGGGGGTGGGATCTCTGGCCTGGGGGCGGGGCTGCTCAGCCTAGGAGCCTGTGGATAGGCCTGGGGCGGGGTCTATGGCCTGGGGGCGTTGCCTCTCAACCTGGAGTGTCTGTGGGTAGGCTTGGGGGCGGGGTCTCTGGACTGGGGGCGGGGCTACCTCAGCCTAGGAGCCTGTGGCTAGGCCTGGGGGCGGGGGGGTGGGGGGGGAGCTGTCCTATGGCCTGGGGGAGTAGCCTCTCCGCCTGGAGAGTCTGGATGGAACCACACTGGGCATCACAGCCTTAGGAGTCTATGCCGCTGGGGTGGGAAGAGGGAGGCCGGGCCCATGGCTTCTGAGAGTCCAGGCGAGGCTGATGCAGGAGCCAGAAAGGACAGCTCCAGCTCTGGGACATCCCATTTAGGGACCTGGCTCCTTTCCCGTGCCTGTTGATGTTGGCCGGCGCTGAGATAAATGCAAATGATCTGTGCCTCTCTTAACAATTGGGGCCCCAGAACTGGACCCCGGCGTCCAGATGCGGCCTGGCTTTGCAAGAGAACATGAGGATACCTCATGCTGGACCCTCTTCATGCCCCATGCTTTTTTCCCCCCTTAAATGCCCAGGCATTCTGTTGAAGGCACTACCATCCTTCAAGTCACCTAGGTGCACCACCTGGCAGTTGGCTTTGATTCTTTCCTCTCCCTCTCCCGTATCCTATAAGCTTTTGAGTCTTCCGGAGGCTACCTTCTCACCATCTTGGCCGCACATCCCCTCTCCCTCCTCATCTGCACCTCCCTCTCTTCCCTGGCTTCTTCTCAAGTTCCACCTTCTACAGAAAGCCTTTCTTCAATAGCCTTTAATGCTAGTGCTTTTCATTTGTTGATTATCTCCAATTCATCCTATATTTATCTCGTTTGAACAAAGTTGTTTACATATTATCTCCTCTATTAGACAATGAGCTCAAGGACTGTGTTTTTCCATTTTATTTAGTTCCTAGCACAATGTCTCTATGCTTAATAAATGCTTTTTCCCCCTTTGGCGAGATGATCAGGGTTAAGTGACTTGCCCAGGGTCACACAGCTAGTAAGTGTCTGAGGTTGAATTTGAGCTCAAGTCCTTCCTGACTTCAAGGCTGGTGCTTTATCCACTGGGCCACCTAGCTGCCCCACAATAAAGGGTTATTGTTGGAAAATCTTGTTAAGGGGCTCAGTGGGCTCCATGTTAAGCAAAATGGACACCCTCAAAAAGGCTTCTCAAGAGTAAGTCTAGGGGCAGCTAGGTGGCACAGTGGATAGAGCACTGGCCCTGAAGTCAGGAGGACATGAGTTCAAATCTGACCTCAGACCACACTTGACACTTATTAGCTGTGTGACCCTGGGCAAGTCACTTAACCCCAATTGCCTAAAAGAAAAAAAAAAAAGCAACTCCATGTTAGAAATGGGCATACCTAGAGAAGCCCAGGGGACATTGGGATAAACTACAACCCCCCCCAAGTCTGTCATTTAAAGCCCTCCATAAGGTGGGTCCCACTAACCTTGCCAGACTGATTCTGACTCTCCTCCTCCCTTTATTTTTGGGTGCACTGGCTGTTCCCTGTACTCAATGGGCCAACTCCTTTCTGCATACCTTTGCCCAGGCTGTCCCCTATGCTTGGAATACATTCTTTCCTCACCTCTATCTCTTAGAATCTTTAATTTCCTTTAAGACTTAACTAAGGTGCCACATCCTACCTTACAAGACCTTCCCTGGCCCTCCAAGTTAGTGCTCTCTCCTTCTGGAAATTATTTTGCATTTATTTACTCATGCTGTATTCCCAGAAGAATGTAAGCTCTTTGAGGGCAAGAACTATTTTTTTTAATCTTTCTATCCTTAGCCTCTGGCACAGTGACCCTCATACAGTAGGTGATTAATAAATGTCTATTGGATTGAATTGGATGTCATTCTGTTGACTCATTTTGAGCTTGCAGTCCATTAAAAACCTTTGCTCTTTTTTCATACAAATTGTCATCTGGCAAGCCTCTCTCATTGTGTTCTTGAGCAGCTGACTTTTTAAAAATATGTAAGAAGATGCAATTTATTCCTAATAGGTTTATGTTGTTGAATTGAATCAAATTTGATCTTCCTTCACTAAAATCCCCCTGCAAAGTCTCCTTGTGAAGTGAAGGCAATCTTGGGATCCCAAAGGGTGCTCAACTGAAAGGATCCACCAAGCTTGAAAGACTGAAAATATATGAATGGTGGTAGATTGACAGCCAGACTGTTAATTGTGAAGATACTCATTGCCCCTGGGTGATGAATTGGGAGAGGATGGGGGCAAGAAACATTCCAACTATGGGAAAAGATGAGGTGGGGCTGTATCAGGGAAGAGAAGGACCACAGCAATGAAATGCTAGTTGCTTGGAATATTGAAGGAAATATCATTCCAATTTAGATTAGGATTCTATTGTCCAACATGCTCCAGATCCCTTGATGGCAGGTTAAAATCTTGGCAAATTGGTACCTATATGATGACCTATGAAACTCTGTATTTTGTATTCCAGATATTATTGATAGCGTCATATTTCTTGATGAAAAAAACCAAAATAGCCAGTGTGTTCACTCCATTGGTCTTACTGATAGAATCCATCCTCTTTTTTTTCTTCATTTTTGCAAATATACTGGCATTACCAAGATATTTAACGAAGCTGATGTGGCCCATTTTTGTAAGTGTTTATTTTCATAATTTCAATTTAAGTCTTTGTGGGTATATATCATACATGGCAGACATATAAGTTTCAGAAAAATGCTTATTGAATTGAATTCAGAGGTTAATGGAATTCAGGGGACATTTAAAAGATTATATAGTCCCAAGGTTCTTAACATTTTTTGTGTCCTGGGTCCCTTTGGCAGTTTGGGGAAGCCTATGGACCCCTTCTCAGAATAATATTTTTAAATGCATAAAATAAAGTACATAGGAGTGCGAAGGAAACCAATTATATTAAACAGTAGTTCTCAAAACAGTATTTAAAAAAAAAAAACAAGTTCAAAGAGCCATGTTAAGAACTACTGATTTGTTCAATTCCCTCATTTAACAGATGAGGAAACTGAGTTCCAGTTTTTTCCAGTTCCCCAAATGAGTTGCCAAAGGTCAAACAGGCGGTTAGATAACAAGATGGGACTAAAACCCAGATCTTCTACTCCAAATTCAGTGTTCTTTCCACCATGCCATGGATGGATTTTGATTCTCTGCTGCTTTTTCTGTATGACCTGTATTGGGCATGCTACCCAACCTCCTTGGCACTCTTTGTTCGTTCACAGAATGGGAGAGTTGAACTCCATATGCTATAACTATTTGCACCCACTGTATATCTCTCCCTTGGCCCCAGAGGCACTGACTATTACTTTTTTTTTTTAGTGAGGCAATCAGGGTTAAGTGACTTGCCCAAGGTCACACAGCTAGTACGTGTCAAGTGTTTGGTCTGAGGCCGGATTTGAACTCAGGTCCTCCTGACTTCAGGGCCGGTGCTCTATCCACTGCGCCACCTAGCTGTCCCAGCACTGACTATTTTGAGTCCATCTTTTATGATTTATGCCAAATGGAAGAGGAAAAAGCCATAGAACTAATGAATCATGAAATCGTAAGTTTATAGTTGGGAGGGACTAGTCTAACCTCACTTTACAGGGAATGAAACTAAGAATCGGGGAAATAATAATAATGATAATATCTAGCCTTCATATAGTGCCTTAAGGTTTGCAAAGCACTTTACAAATATTATTTCATTTGATCCTCACAACTGTGGGAGGTAGGTGCTATTATTATCCCCATTTTATAGATGGAGAAATTGAGGCACAAAGAAATTGAGTGACTTGCCCAGAGTCATATGGCTAGTAAGTATCTAAATCAGGATTTGAACTCAAGTCTTCCTGATTCCAAGTCCACCACCATGCACTGTGATACCTGTCCCCAAAGAAGGGATTTTATCAATTTCACCCTGGTGGTAAAGAAGCAGAGCCATTATTTCAACCAAGACCATTCACTCTTTATTTCATCTCAACCATGCTTTGTTCCAGTCCCACCCCTAATTGGTTGTGTGACTTTGTGCAAATCAGAAGCCATGAGGGTTTTAACTTTGCTCCCTATGCTCCCCCATTCTGAACTTCCCTATTGCTGTTGAGGGCACCACCATCTTCCCAGTTACCCTGGCTTAAAATCTTAGTGTCATCCTTGCCCCCTCACTATCTCTACCCCCCGCATCTAAGCTGTTGCCAAGGATTGGCCATTCTACCTTTGTTACATTTCTGACTATACCTCCTTCTCTCCTCTGACACCACCCCCACCCTGGTGCAGGCCCTCATCACTTCACACCTGGACCATTACAATGGTCTGCTGGTGAGTCTGCTGCCTCACTCCATGCTCATCCTTGATTCAGCCATTATATGATCTTAAAGCAGGTCTGACCAGATCTCTCTCTCCTTCTCTCTCTCTCTCTCTTTCTCTCTCTCTCTCTCTCACACACACACACACACACACACACACACACACACACACACACACAGAATTCCTAGCACAAAATATTTCATCTCCCGACTCTGGGAATTTGCACTGGCTGTGCCCCATGCCTGGAGTTCTCTCCCTCCTCACCTCTGCTTTCTGGCTTCCCTGGCTTCCTTCATGTCCCAGCTCAAACCCCACTTTGTACAGGATGCCTTTCTAGATCTTCTTTAATTCTGATGGCATCCATTTGTGGATTCGCTCCAATTTCTCCCATTTATGACTTGTTTGTATCTAGCTGTTTGCTTGTTGTCTCTCCTGTTAAGCTTCTTGAGACCAGGGACTGTCTTTTGCCTTTCTTTGTACTCACAGCACTACAAACAGTGCCTGGAACTTAGTGGGCACTTTAATCAATGCTTGTTGATTAAATGACTGGTATAATGGAAGAAGCACTGACTTTTTTTTTTATTTAATAGGCTATAGGTGAAATTCCTGGCTCTATTAATAACAAGTTGTGTGACATGGAACAAGCCTCTTAATCTCTGTGTGCCTCGGTCTCCTCATTTGTCAAATTAGGGGTTCAATTAAGAGATCTCTACAATCCAATAGAAAGTTTCCTGACCAGTAAAATGGGGATAATTCTTGTGTTATGGATCTTAAAGGAATATTGTAAGGAAAGCATTTTGTAAACTCCAAAGCATTATAGAAAGGTGAGCTATGATTACTAATAAAAACTTTTCTTAATAAAATCTATTTTTTTTCAAAAGCAATGAAAGTTTTCATTTGCCTGCACCTTGATGTTTTCCTCTTTATTTTTTTTTTTATTTTGGCTAGGCAATGGGGTTAAGTGACTTGCCCAGGGTCACACAGCTAGTAAGTGTTATGTGTCTGAGGCCAGATTTGAACTCAGGTCCTCCTGACTCCAGGGCCGGAGCTCTATCCTCTGCACCACCTAGCTGCCCCTGATGTTTTCCATTTAGTGTTCCATCTCTCAACCATGTGCCTTTGCAAACAACTTTGTACATATGTGATCCGTACAGGATAAATTTGAGGTAATCTCAAGGGAAAAGCTCTGGGTGGGCAATGGGGAGAAGGTCTCCTACAGAAGGTGCCATTTGAACTGAATCTTGAGGGAAGCCAGAAGGCGGAGTTAAAGAGGGAGAACATTCCAAGCATGAGTTGGGATATAGACTGTCCCATTCAAGCAACTAAAAACAGGCCAGTGTTGCTAGATCAGACAGTAGTTGCAAGAGAATGAATTGTAAGAAGACTGGAGAGATAGGAAGGGGTCAGATTGTGAAGGGCTTTAAATGTCACACCAAGTCTTTTATATTTGATCTTGGAGGTAAGAGAGAGCAACTAGATATTATTGAGGAGGGAGAGGACAGGGTCAGACCTCTTTAGGAAAAACACATTTGGCATCTGAGCAGAGGATAGGCTAGAGAAGAGACACTTGAGTTCAGGTATGAGATGATGAGAGCCTGCACCAGAGTGATGGCTGAATGAGTGGAGAGGAGGGGATGCTGATTAGAAATGAGAGGTGACTGAAAGAGAACAAGTAAGGATGGCCTCAAAGCTGTGGGCCTGAGTGATTGGGAGGACTATGGCCTCAAAAGCAAACTGGAAAATTGGAAAGAGAAGTGGAGCTTGGGAGAAGATAATGAGTTCCGTTTGGGACATATAAAGTTCAAGACATCTAATGAACATCCAGTTTGAAGAACATTTACTATAGACTTACTGTGGGAATCATCTGCACAGAGATGGTACTGAGCCCAGAGGAGCTGATACCACCATATTAGATAGAGTGGTGGAGAAGAAAAGAGGCACCAGGGCAGACCCTTGGGGGACATCCATGGTTAGTAAATGTCACCTGGATGAAGAACTAACAAAAGAGACTGAGGAGAAGTTGTCAGAGAGGTAGGAAAGAATAGTGTCATGGGCACCTAGAAAGGGGAAAATATCAAGCAGAAAAGTGTGATCAACAGTGTCAAAGGCTGCACAGAAGCAGAACAAAAGATGAGGATTGAGAGAAGGCCATTGGATTTGGCAACTAAGAGATCATTGGAACATAAACTGATATAAAGTGAAATGATCAGAACCAGAAGAACATCATACACAGTAACAGCAATATTATATTGTATTATCATATCAATTATTGCATTGTTACAACAATATTATATTATAATAACAGCGATGATTTACTGTGAATGACTTTGCTATTCTCAGCAATACAGTGATCTACGACAATTCTGAAGAACTTTATATTGAAAAATGCTATCCATCTCCTGAGAAAGAATTGATGGAGTTTGAATACAGATTAAAGCATACTTTTTTGACTTTATTATTCTTGTTTTTCGGGTCTGAGCTTTTTTTTTTTTTTGTCACATGGGTAATATGGAAACATTTTGCCTGACTGCACATGTGTAATCTATGTCAAATTGCTTGCCTTCTCAAGGAGGGGAAAAGCGAATTTGGAACTCAACATTTTAAAAAATGAATGTAAAAAATTTTTATTTGCATGTAATTGGGAAAAAATAAAACTAAAAACTAAATGTTTAAAAAAGAGAGATCATTGGAGACTTTGGAGAGAGCAATTTCAGCTACATATTGAGGTTGGAGTGCAGAGAAGAGAAAGTGAAGGCACTAGTTGTAGTCAGCTTTCTCAAGAAGCTTACCTGAGGAGAAGATAGAAATGTGATAAGCAAGGACCATAGGATCAGGTGACTTTTTTTTTTTTTAAGGATAAGGGAGATGTGAGTGTGTTTGGGCATGGGGAAGGAGCAAGTAGATAAAGAGAGATTCAAGATTATAGAGTTGGGCTGATAAAGGGGCAATCTGCTGGAGAAGGCAGATTGGACCAAAATCACTTGTGCAGACAAAGGGCTCTGCCTTGGCAAGGAGAAGAGCTATCTCTTTAGGGAAGACAGGCGTGAAAGAGGAGACAGTGAGGAAAACATATCTAAGTGGTGTGAGATGAGGAGTGAAGAAAAGGGAATTCTCTGCAAATAGTTTCATTTTCTTTCAACAGTTAGTAGCCACCAGAATCTGGATTGAGTGACAAATTTTAATAGAGTGAACCTCAAAGGAGGAGAGATTCCTGTAGTATTGGTAGAGAGAGAATCTGGAAGAGGTAATGGGGAGCAAAGAGTGTCGGCTCCCCCCACCCCCAGTATTGGGGGAGAGGGGCAGGGTATGATGGAAAGAAGAGCTAGTTTATAGCAGAGTAGCCAGGAGTGTAGCATTATTTGGAGGCAACCATATGTCAGTGAGTACAAAAAGATGGAGGGAGGGAAAAAGAAGAAAGAAGGTTTAGGATGAAATCAAGTTTCTTAATTACTGAGTAGGCCGTGAGAGCCCAGCAAGAGAACCCGGTGGAAGGGCTGAGTAGATCCGGAGTGGGATGTCTGTGGGTAAGGCTAAGAGAGAGGGGATCGAGGGGCCAGGCAGCTGGGGAGGGGAAGTGGAGTTTGAACCTCAGTAGCCAGGGGTTCAGAACCACTGGAAATGGGGAGGCTGATGCAGTAGGAGCATACTCCATTGAGTATAACTAGTGAGGAGTGAGTTCAGGCAACAGTGCCCAGAGAAAGGCCTGTTGAGGGAGGAGGTGATTCCATTGTCCAAGGCCTTCCCTTGATGCCCAGCCTCATAGTGGGTGGTGCTGGATGTATCCTGTGAGCCCCAAAATGTCCTCCTTGCTGCAAGCAGGAGTGATACAAGTATGCACTGGTCTAGTCTAGCCAGGAGTTTCAGTTGTAGGTAGGCCCAGGAAAGGCCTCCAGAACACTGAAGGAGGCCAGAGGTGGTGAGCCTGGAATCGGGCTGAAGCAGTCTGTTTATGTAGAATGTTGGCCCCTTGAGGGTGAGACTATTTCCAGTCTTGTCTTTGCATGCCTGCTGTGTAGTTTGGTGCGTAACATGTAGTTATTGAGTTGAATTGCACTAAATCCTTAGGCAATTGTAGTATTTTTATGATACTCCATCAGCATTCGGTGTTGACTGTTTTTCTCTTCTGCATTTTCAGGATATTCTCAATGATTTTTTTGCATTTCTATACCTTGCCTATGCAGGCTTCTACTCAATAATTCACCCACCAGGCACTATGGATAAACTATACTGGCAAGTAGCTGTAAGTAAATTATTTTTAAGTTTCATTTCTACATGTTAAAAATCTGTATTCAGGTCCTTTGGGAAAATGTCTATGTTCTGTCCTGTTGCAGGAGAAGTCTGTTCTCCAATGGGCAGTATGATGCTCCATTATGAGTGCCATTCATTTCAGCAATGTGAATGTGGGCGCGATGTGTCAGGCTGGGTTTTAAAATGAGTAAATTGGACCGCTTTCTCCTGCCCATTTCAGATCTGATAATTGGTCTCTCCAAATCAGTGTTTAGGTTGTAACTCAGCATCCATGCTAGAGAAGGAAAAAAAAAAGAAAAAAAAAGAAGAAACAGATGCACATGATGCATAGGTCCCAAAGAGATTTATTAAAGGATAATATTGATAATCAGCTTGAGACAGGAGTGAAGCTGTGGGCCTCCAAAGCTATATCCAGACAGGAGTGGTGGGTGGCAGCTCCAAAGATGGTTTCCTAGCTCCTCCTTTTGGTACCAAAATGTCTCGTCTCTGACATGTCTTAGAGATGCTCCCTTTTTCAGATGGGGTCCAGGATCCTGACTGGTGGGGTGCAAGGTATTATCTATTACCTCTGATTCAAGACCTGCCCTTTGGGATCTTTGACTACAGTAATTGGTTGACTGAGATGAGAATATGGGATCAGAATATTTGCCAATTTATTCAGGGTTGGCAATCTAGGGAATTATAGAAGGTTTTATCTATGATCCTCAGTGCTATGGGACCATTTGGGCCCAGGTAGACTCTTATCTGTAAAATGATTGGTGGCTCAGGAATAAACTTCAACTGGTTTTCAGGGTAAAAGTAAAATAAAGTAGGAAACTATTAAAACTACCTACACAGACAGAAGAATAGGTAATTAATATGGCCCTGGGTCTTCTTAAGGAGTTCTGGAAGTATCAGGAATATGGCCTTGGGCCATCTTCTCAAATGAGAATCAAAGACTTGAAGAGAGGTGCTTAGAGCTTTTCCCCTTGATATCCTACACTATAAAAGATAACTCATTTTATAGAATGAGGATAATATACTTTTGATACACAAGGATCCTACATGAGGAGAAAGGCCTTACTTATTAACATAGCTATATGTTGGGGATTTAGTGTGGGGTAGAGTCAAGATGATAGAGTAGTACCAGACAAGTTCTACCCACAACTGCTCCACACAGATAGAATTCATCAGACCACATCATGATCAGGAGATCCAAGAAAACAAAATGACAGCCAATCATTTTTCTAGCCTGGGTCAATAAAGGGAGTCTGAGAGGTCTGTGGACAGTGGGGACAGGGTCTCTTCAAGCACAAGGAGAGGCTATGCACCAGAGCCACAAAGAGTCTCAAATGCTGTAACGCACAGGAACTTGACCTTGTGCAGCAGACCGGAACAGATAGATGCCAAATGGCAGTTCTGTCACTGGCTGTGAAGTTCTGGGTCATAGATCCAGGATGAGGAGGGGACTTGCACCTAGGGGTGGCATCCCAGGGTGAGAAGTGATCCCTAGCTCCTTAGTCCCCTAGTGCCCTAGATTGTGTACTGATCAAGAAACAAGTTTGGAAGCAAGCAGCAGCTACGTGTCTCTGACTCTAGGAGTAGAGCAGCATTTCACCTCTAGCCTGCAGTGGAATAGCCAGGGCAGAAATCCCAGACCAAAGGGAAGCCTGCAGTTCTGTTGCTCTGAACCAGTCGATCTTCCTAGATGTCTAAAAGTGGCTGAATCCAGTAGCAGTCTACTGAAACACCAAATAGGGCAAGCCCACAGCTATGTTGCTCAAACCCAATTCCAGGTCAAGAACTTTCAGAACTCAAACCAGGGGGATGGCAATCAGATTTTACCCTGAATCAGGCCACTTCAGGAGCACTGAATGCTAACGGGTCCTGCAAGGACAACCTGAGATCCTGGAATAACACAACACTCAACCCAAGAAAGCAGCAGCAAGACTCTAGAAAACACAAGCTTGGCCCAGATATTCCCTCTGGAAGTGAGCATTGACCATCCCTAATATAAAGTACTACGTCAGGAAGTACACTAAAAGCATGAGCAAACAAAAATAATCCCACTGTAAAAAGCTATTATGGTAAGAGAACACTCAAAAACAACAACAACAAAAAGAAAAAAAATGACTTCCAAACATCTACAAGAAAAGCTTCACAGCTTGGATACAAGTTCAACTGGAATTCTTAGATGTGAAGAAATAATAATTTTTAAATGTTTTAAGAATTTAAAATATTTTTATAAATAAAAATGAGGGTTCTAGAAGTGGGAAAGGAAATGAGAGCTATGGATGAAAGAATTGGGAACAGAATTAACAACTTGGCACAAAAGGTATAAAACCTTGCCCAAGCAACAAACTCCTTGAAAATTAGAAAGGACATAATAGAAGATAATGGCTCTCTGAGACAGCAAGAAATTTTAAAACAAAGTTAAAAGACAAGAAAAAAATAGAACAGAATGTAAGGTATCTCATAGCATAAACAACTGATCTGGGAAATAGATTAAGGAGACATAATATGCAGGTAGGTGCTCAGTGGATAGAGTGCTGGGCCTGAAGTCAGGAAGACCTGGGTTCATATCCAACCTCAGATATTTACTAGCTATGTGATCCTGGACAAGTCATTTAACCTCTGTCTGCTTCAGTTTCCTCATTTGTAAGATGGGGAAATTGATAGCATGTACCTCCCAGGGTTGTTGTGAGTATCAAATGAGATAATAGTTGTAAAGTACTTAGCATAGTGCCTGGCATATAGCAGGTGCTTTATGTTTACTTCCTTCCTGTCTTATTTAAGAATCGTTGGAAAACCTAAAAGCCATGACTAAAAAAAGAACCTAGACCAATAACCAATTACCAAGAAATCATGAAATCAAAAAACTATCGACATCTCTTAGAATGACAGAAGGCAGAGTAGAAACAGAAAGTATTTGCCAGTCACCTCTCAAAAGAAACCCCAAATTAAAACTTCCCAGGAACATCAATGACAACTGCAGGGCTTCTAGGTTAAAGGAAAAAAATTCTGCAAGCAACCAGAAAGAAAGAATTCAAATACTGAGGATTCGTGATCAGGATGACACAAGATTTAGCAGTCACCATTATGAAGGAACAGTTGGCTTGGAACAAGATATTCCAGAAGGCAAAGGATATAGGTTTATGACTAAGAAGAAAACTAAGCATAATCCTACGGGAAGGAAAATGGACCTTTAATGAAATAGAAAATTTCCAAGTGTTCCCAAAGAAAAGAACAGAACCACATGGAAATTTTGAAGGGCAAGCATAGGCATCATAAGAATATGAAACTGTAAACATGAGCATAAAATCATAACAGAGTAAACAAACTAAAACTATTTAAGAGCTAGTTATTGTTACATTCTAATATAGGAAGATAATACATGTGTCTCCTCAGAACCCTATCTTTGAGGTCATAGAGAGAGTCCAACTCTAATTGGTGATCCAAGGAGTAGTTCTGTTATATTTTGATTATCTTAAAAGAAGAATGCAAAGAGAAAGGGAAGAGGAATATACCATTGGGGGAAGAAAAGGAAAGATAGAGAAAATTATCTCACATAATTAGAGTGCAAAAGTAGATTTCTATACAAACAAGGAAGAGGGAGTAGGGGGAACAGATAACTCTTGAACTCTCATCTGAATTGGTCAAAGGAGGGAAGAATGCATACACACATAGCTGGTTACATAAATACATTTCTCCAACCAGGGAAACAGGAGTGAAAGGGGAAAAGAGATAAGGGGATAATAAGGAGGGAAAATCAGAGCAAGGATTAGCCCTAAGCAAAACAAAGCAAAAAAAATAATCTGAAGATGTATAAAAATACTTATAGAATCTCTTTTTGGGGTAGCAAAGAATTGGAAACTGAGGGAGCACCCCTCAATTTGAGAATGACTAAGGCATGGCATATGAATGTGATGGAATATCATTTTTCTGTAAGAAATGATGCAGGGAATTGGCTTCAGAAAAGACTTAGAAAGGCTTCTATAAACTGATGGAAAGTGAAATGAGCATAACCAGAAGAATAATTTACACAGAACAGTGGTATTATTAAAAAAATCAACTGTGAAAGACATAGTAACTGATCAACAAAATGAAGTAACCACAATTCCAAAAGACTCATGATGAAACATGCTATCCCTCTTCAGACAGAAAACCAATGGACTCAGAGTACACATTAAAGCATATTTTTCTTTTTATTTTTTTTGGGGGGGGAACATAGCTAATGTGGAAATTTGTTTTGCATGACTTCATATTTGTAATGTGTTTTGTATTTCTTGTCTTCTCAATGGGTGGGGAAGAGGGTGTGGATAGGGAAAAAATCTGGAACTGAAAATAAAATGAAATTGAATTTAAAAAAATAAAGGAAGGAAGAATACAAACACACATAGCTGGGTATAGAAATACACTTCACTGAACAAGAAAACAGGAATAAAAGAGGAAAGAGAGAAAGAGGTATAAGAGGGAGGGAAAAATCAAGGGAGGGATTAATCCTAGGTAAAAACAAAACAAAAACCACAAACTCTAAAGATGTATAAAAATACTGATAGCAGCTTTTTGTTTTGGCAAAGAATTGAAAATGAAAACTGAGCGAGTGCTCCTCAGTTAGGGAATGACTGAGCAAGTTATGGTGTATGAATAGTCAAATGCAATTATCCCATAGAAATTATGAAGAGGAAGGTTTCAGAGAAACCTGGGGAGGCTTATTTGAACTAATGTAGAGTGAAGTAAGAAGAACTAGGAAAACAATTTATACAATAACAACAATATCATGAAGACAAACTACTTTAAAAGACTTAGTAACTCTAATTAACCCAATGACCAACCATATCAACCAAAGAATTCACCATGAAACATACTACCCATCTCCTGATAGAGAGGTGATGGTTTCCAAGTACAGATTGAGGCATATTTTTTTTTTGACATGGCCAATGTGGGAAGTTTTGGCATCAAATAGGTAATTTCCACCAATAAGGAGAGTCT